CTTTAAGCAAAGAACAGAGATCAAATATGGCTGAATGTTTGATAAACTACGCGGAGATTTTTGACTTTGAGAGAAGAGCAAGTAGACCTTTCTCCGGCGTAAAACATAAAATAGACACTTCAGACAACCGCCCTATTAAGCAACGACCTTACCGTGTGTCACCTACTGAAAGGCAAGCAATACAGGGAGAGGTCGACAAAATGATCAAAATGGGAGTCGCACAACCATCCGAAAGCCCCTGGTCTTCTCCAGTGGTCCTAGTAAAAAAGAAAGATGGGTCATGGAGATTTTGCGTGGATTATCGAAGGCTCAATCGGATCACGAAAAAGGACGTGTATCCAATACCAAGAACCGATGATGTTTTGGATAGTTTAACGGGAGCCAAGTTCTATTCCAGCATGGACTTACGCACAGGTTATTGGCAAATAGAGATTGATGAAGGAGACGGTGAAAAGCCAGCTTTCGTCACCCCTGATGGTCTCTATGAATTTCGAGTCATGCCGTTCGGCCTATGTAATGCCCCAGCCACGTTCGAAAGAATGATGGACAATCTGCTGGCTGGACTCAAGTGGACAATTTGTCTTTGCTACTTGGACGATATAATTGTCTATGCGTCCTCCTTTCAAGAGCACATGGAACGACTGGAAAAGACCCTTAAATGTATCCAGAGGGCAGGTTTATGTCTCAATCCCGAGAAGTGCCGATTTGGATCAAAGATAATCAAGGTATTAGGGCATTTGGTTTCAGAGGAAGGTATACGCCCAGATCCTGGAAAAATAGAGGCCATCATAAATTTTCCGACTCCAAAAAATACAACTGATGTGAGAAGTTTCATCGGATTATGTTCTTACTATAGACGCTTTGTGAGGAACTTCGCGAATAAAGCAAAGCCATTACACGAACTACTGAAAAACAATACTAGGTTCGTTTGGTCAAAGGAGCAAGATGAGTCGTTCCAGATATTGAAAGCAGCGTTGACTACAGATCCTCTTCTCGGCCATTATAAAGAAGAAGCCGAAACACATCTGCACACAGACGTGAGTGGACATGGCATTGGAGCAATATTGATTCAAATTCATGAAGGAGAGGAAAAGCCAATCGCCTATGCTTCAAGAACCCTCAACGCTGCAGAAAAGAACTATTCTACGACAGAGAGAGAATGTCTGGCCGTAGTATGGGCTATTTACAAGTTCCGGCCTTATTTATTCGGGAGGCATTTTACTGTAGTTTCCGACCACCATTCTCTGTGTTGGTTAGCCAATATAAAGGATCCATCAGGAAGGCTAGCCAGATGGGCTCTACGTCTTCAGGAATTTGACATTTCTATTGTTTATAAGAGTGGAAAAAAACACCAAGATGCGGACTGCCTTTCACGAAACCCTCTTCTAGACACGGACGAAAACAACATTCCAGAGTTGATCTCAATTACCGACGTAAGAAAAGAACAAGAAAAGGACGATCAAATTACGAAAATAATCCAAGGCAGCCAATCTAAAGGCGATGGAGTTTTTAAGTTAATCGAAGGTATTCTTTACCGAAAAAATTACGATCCCATGGGCAAAATGTGGCTTCTAGTGGTTCCTAAACAGATGAGAATTGACATCTTGAGGGAAGCCCATGATTCACCGATGGCAGGACATTTGGGATTTGCCAAAACCTACGATCGAGTTAGGAAAAAATACTTTTGGCCCGCCCTGTACAGATCTGTGAAACAATATGTGTCGCATTGCAGAGAGTGTCAAAGGCGAAAAGGATCCACGGGGCGCCCGGCTGGACAACTGGTACCAATCCCACCTGTAGCCCGCCCTTTTCAGAGGGTAGGAATAGATCTGTTGGGGAGATTTCCTGTTTCGAACAACGGCAACAAGTGGATCGTGGTTGCGACAGATTATTTATCTAGGTACGCAATTACCAGAGCAATACCTAATGGAAGTGCGGAGGAAGTTGCCAAATTCATGGTAGAAGACATATTGCTGAAGCATGGAGCTCCTAGAGAGTTAATTTCAGATCGAGGTCGAACCTTTATATCCAGAACATTAAAGGAAATCAACGACCTCTGCGGGACCATACATCGATTCACGTCAGCCTATCATCCACAGACCAACGGCTTAACCGAGAGACTCAACAAGACTCTCGCTGACATGTTGTCCATGTATATCGATGTCGAGCAAAGAAACTGGGATGCAGTGCTCCCCTATGTCATCTTCGCCAATAACACCTCCCAACAAGAATCCACTGGGTTTAGCCCTTTCTATCTCATACACGGACGAGATGTAGAGACTCCACTTGACACCATCTTAGCCTATTGAGAAAACACCAGTCTGGAAGACTACGTGGAGAGTATGGTGACAAATGCTGAGGATGCACGCCAGTTGGCTCGGTTAAACATCTTACGATCACAAGAAAGAGACAAATCTCGATATGACCAGAGCCACAGACCAGTCCATTATCAGACAGGAGACCTGGTGTGGGTGTTCACGCCTGTCCGTAGACAAGGGTTGGCGGAGAAGCTCCTAAAGAGATACTTCGGCCCTTATAGGGTGAACAGACAACTCTCCGAGGTAACCTATGAGGTGGAGCCTTTGGAAAAAAGACCACGGCAACGGAAAACAAAAGATATCGTCCATGTCCAGCGGATGAAGCCTTATCAGAGCCCAGAAGAGCAAATTCAGGCCTGAGAAAGAAGCATAACCTTATCGGAAAAATAGGAGGCAAGTTGGGAAATTCTTTATTATTATTATTATTTAAAATTAATTTTGCACTTCTAGTTCATTTCTGATTTTTGTGTATATAATTTGTTAGTATGTTGTAAAAGCAGCGGGTCGCTGCTTGCTTTTGAGAGGGGGGTAATGTCACTGTATAATATTTGCATATAAATCCATTGTTGTTATTTTGGCCGGCATAAAAACTTTTGTAAATATGCAAATTCGTTAGTTTAGTATTGCTATTTCTTTTCTTCTACTCGTCTCAAGCAGAATAAACTTTCAATAGAAAACTACTGTTCGCGTGATTCCTAATACTTATTTACACGGAAATCCGCGACAATATATATATTTACATAACAGGTTTATCAATATGAATGAATATTTGAAATGGTACAGATTTATTATTTTATTATTATATATTTTAGAACCCTCTCAGCGGTTTCGCCAGTTAATCTCCAGACCGCTTCATTTCTTATATACCCTCCATTTGCTTTTGACCTTATTCGAAATATGTAAATAGCAAAGAATTCTGGAAAAATGATGATATTATAAACATAAGAAATTAAATAATTTAAGCGCAAAGGTTTTTTCTATACACAAATTAAATTTCTACTATCCTGACTGACTTAACTCGACTAATTGACCATTATACAATGTATAATGGTCTTCTAGTCCTACCAACAGGCTGTACAAAGCAGAACGATCACAATGGACTATGGACTAAGGAAACAGCAAGTCAACAGAGCTGTAACACAATTTCTACTCGCCTTACTTTGATGAGAAAATATATTGGGAGGGCTTGGCTCATCAGTGGTGAACACTACCAGCGGTTTCGCCAATTTAATCTACCACACTGCTTCTTAGAGCTCTAATACTGTATTGAACGATTCTGATTATATATGCTACACAGTATTAGAGCTTTAAGAAGCGGTCTGGTAGATTAAATTGGCGAAACCGATGGGAGAGTTCATTACTGATGAGCCAAGCCCTCCCAATATATATATTTTATATCACAGTAAGATGTTATATCTCTATAATATATTGTAACAAAGTATTTATTAATTTTATTATTTTTATTAACCCTTTGAGCACCAGGCAAGACGATGTATCGTTTTGATGTGATCGTGTTGATTGTAACCTTTTCTCCTTAAAATAATCTAATGACATTTAATTAATTGTATTTTAAAGCGTATATTCTGTTGCATTGTGTTTCATATGTTTGTATAAATTATAAAAGCGTTTATTTAAAAAATAATAATTTGAAGAATAGTTTGATGTCTTTTGAAGGCTAACAATAATCAGGAATGACCTTGAAAACGGCCGGCACCTAAAGGGTTAACAGAGTGGTCATTTGTTTGTTTATATTTTGCTACTCTGGAAATTTCCCTCGTGGCTTATCTTTTGTTTTACCATTCATAGTTTGTTCTTGCCTGAAATAAATTGTTGTCTCCTCCTGAAGTTGGTCTTCCCTAATTTTCCACGTGGCAATATGAAAGATAATTGGTATAAGAGAAGGAGTAAAGATGGTTAAAATGAAAGTAGATAAAAATTATTTTTAAGGTATCTAAAAAATGTTTTGTATTTTATGTAACAATATAGAGTTATAACAAGTTCACGCTGTAGCTTCGGCTGTTACGCGTCATAGTAGCGGAACAGAGGCGAAAAAAGAAAGAATTGAAGGTATTAAGATAAGAAAAATAGAAAGCACAGAACCATATTAACCTTCTATCAAACTTTTAAAAGTAAAAAGAAAGAAAATTTATTTTTTAAATGTATTTTTTGAAAATTTATGATTTTTTTTTGTTAATATTTTATGACTTTTGTTAAAATTGCTAGTTAAAATTGGAGTCAATTTGTTTATGTTATATATATATGTGTTTATATATATATGAATATATATATATTTAAAAAAATTCTGTTTGATTTTGATTATCTTGAGGATAATGCTATGGTACTGGAGTCGTGGTTAAAATCTTAAAAGTATAATAAAAATAGTAAAGATTAGAAACAGTTTTAATTGAGCTTAAGGAATATATAAAACATAATTTGAGAAAGGTATGCCTGACTTAAGGTGTAAGAATCTTAAAAAATAAACTTATTTACATAAATACAATATAATATAGGTAATGCGGCTTGTGATTGTAAAACGATATTTGAAATACTATCCCGCATGTATTTCTTTTCAACGAAAATTCAAAATTTATTTTAAGGAGAAATAACGATTATTTCTAACATTTTGGATGAGGTATGAAAGGGTGAATTGTGAAGAGTAATGATAAACGGAAAAATAAAAGTGTCCAGAGATGGGAATCGAACCCACATTGTTCCGCTTACCGGGCAGATGTCATGTCCACTAGGCTACCCTGGACATAATTGAAAAGAAACACATGCGGGATAGTATTTCAAATGTCGTTTTACAATCACAAGCCACATTATATTATATTGTATTATAAATTACTTTATGTATTATTTACGAACGGAAAAATAGTTCCGAGTAGCCTAGTGGACATGGCATCTGCCCGGTAAGCGGAACATTGTGGGTTCGATTCCCATCCTCGATGGCGTACCTCGATCTGTGAAAGAAAACAATTTTTTTTACAAAACATTTCAAGGGATTGATTTATCTCTTTATCAATTTATTGCGACAAAGATTTAAAATTAACTTTTTTTTGTGACGTAATTTGATAAAGATACACAGAGTAAAATCCTTCGAATTATTTCGAAAAATATGTTTTTCTCTCACAGATCCAGTTAAGCCTTTTTTAAAAATATAATTATAGATTTAATGGATCACATTTCAATTCAAAGTATTAGAGAGTAGATATAGATTTCAATTATTTTAGGAAAAAAAGTTGCATTAATTCGTTTCAAATTTCAACGATAGAGGGAGCTGATATTTGATATGTTGAATAACAAACTAATTTGGAATTTTTATTAATTAATATTACAAGGTGAAAAAAATAGTACAAATTTGACATTGTACTGGGATAAGGTTCATAATTTAAGAAAAAAGCATCTCCTTATAGTGCAACTGAAAGTTGCTGATGGCTTGCGCCATCTATCGGAATAAATATAAACTATTCCGATAGATGGCGCAAGCCATCAGCAACTTTCAGTTACACGATAAGGAGATGCCTTTTTCTTAATTTATTATTACATGGTTGTTCCAAAAGTTCGTAAACATTTACAAAAAATTGAAATACCAATATTATTCGCCGTTATGTATAATGTCTTTGTATTATGTATAAAGTAATTGTATTATTATGTATTCGCGCCGTAATAATATTATTCGCTAAGTAATAATAAAAACAACGTTTTAAGAAAAATACAAACTTTTGGGACAACCTTATATTATTATTATTATTATTATTATTATTAAGGTAGATGGCTACTGGCGAGGGAAATGGCCCAAACTGAAAAAATTCCCGTAAAAGTAGTGCCGATAGTCTTAACATGTGATGGAATAGTAACCAAATATAACAACCAATATAGGAAGGAAATAAACATAAGAAAAAGGGACTTCGCATATATTCAATCCCTGGTGCTAAAAAAGACGATGAAAATTATCTCAACAGAAAAGAAGAATGAACCTCACGATAAGTTACAGAGAAATAAAGAAATGGAAGCCATGGATAGATTGTTGGAACGATGTAGGGAGCTGGCGTGTGGCGAGGAAGGTGGAACACCGGACATGGACCACAGGGATACGACGACCATAGAAGAGATCCAGGAGAATGACCTAGAGCAGATAACTGGAGACCTGACAGACAAGAATGGATCAAGGCCAGGGGACCATCTTATCGAGGAACCACCAGGAGAGGCCATAGAAAGACTGCTGGAGAGCTGCAGGACATCAGGGGACCTTTTCTGCGAGGGCCACAGCACTGACCAGGAGTCAATATAGCAAATGTAAATATCTTTGTTTACTTTTACTGTTGTTATTTATTGAAGTTGTAAATAAAAATATGTAAATAGACTGACCATTCGCTACACTTTTTAGAGAAAAACTTGTAACCTTTTTGAAAAATAAAGTTAAGGTAGATGTAGTATTCTATAGATATTTTTAACTTGGTTTGTTTCAACCACACATTTCTACTTCAGATAACCTAGAACTGTGTTAATGGACTTTTCCATCATTAAGTAGACCAGATTCGTTTTAGGAGCAAAACAAAGTTTTTTTTCCTACTATGAAAGTGTTGCAAAATTTGGAAGTTGTCCAAGGTTTAGAACTTTTGATTTGGAAATTTTTCTAAATAAAATAATCGTAAACATTTACGGCTGTCTCGTGTCTGGCCTTAAATTCTATGAAATAAAAAAGATTAAATTTGACCAATGACTAGATTTTATTACGTTCTATTTTAATGATAAAGATAACATATATTTATATATCTTATATTATTCATGAAATAATGATAATAAATGTGAATATAATATATAATTATATAAATTCTTGAATAACATTTACCACACACATTTAAAAATAAAATATTATATAAAATATAATTAATTCTAAATATATAATAGGCGTTATTGTTAATATTCAACATATTCACACCCTTATTTTACAAAATTTATTTTGTCTATAATATAAATTTATATATCAATTTTTTTTTCTCCCCATTGAATATAAGCAAATATATTTTTAAACTTAATTCTATTGACGTTATGTGGCGCTGAGTTTGTTGTTGACACACCTTAATATGTAATAACACCTTGAAAAAGGTTGGCGTTCAGCCAATTGAAATATTGGTAAAATAAATGATATTTTGATCCAAAATATGACTTTTTATTTAAATATAAAATATAATAAATTATTAGCTTTTTTATTGATAAGTGTTTGTTTCCAGAGTAAAGAAAAAACAATTTTTAATTTTTCATTACTTAGTTTATTGAATATTGCTTAATATATTTTTCGTTGAGTAAATTATTATTTAAAAAAATATTATGAGAGAATCTAAAACTAAAATTTACAAGGAAACCTGAAATATATATATATATATGTATATTAAGTTTAAAAATGCATATGATCACTATTCATTGAAAAAAAGGTGATCCAAAGCTGATCACGTTTGAATATCTCTTTCAAAATTAACGTCTAATGTTTTTATGCAACTTTCATACCTCTCTCCCCGTCACCAGGGTGTTAATCCGCTTCGATCGTCTGCTTTAGAAATTTTTGGCGGGAAAATAAAAAAAAAAGTTCTTTTGCCCACGTTTTAATATATTCTATTATTTATTTTTATATTGTCGTTTTTTTTTTTAGGTTTTCATTTTTTTATTATTTAAATAATAATATAGTGGAGAAAAAGAGTATACATTTTAATATAAATTAAAATTTTACTTTGCTGTTTATTACAGTTTATATACATATGACAAGCTATATATAGGTCGTAATAATATGGTTTATTTTTATTGTTCTTTTGGTATATGACCAAAAACAGTCCCCAAGTGTTTTATAACTATATATTTATCTATGAATTAAGAAAAAAAGGCATTTTCTGATCGTGCAACTGAAAGTTGCTTATGGCTTACGCCATCTATCGGAATAAAGCCCACCGCTACTGGTCCTGCAGCGCCGTTCGCCCTGTCATCCGAGAGGTGTTCTCCATCATCGGCCAGACCTGCACTCCTGGATCTTTCCAGTTGGTCTCGAGGATCACGCCATCACCATCTTCTCAGCCGCGAAGTACGTGATTTACGTATTCTTCGTAGATCACGAAATACGTGGTGTCGCTGGAGACCCGCTGGTGATTCTCCACCAAACTCTGCAGCGCTGGCAGAGGCGCCATATTCATTGTATATAGTGTATATAATCCATATTATCTTTTTTTTATATAGTACAGACTGTGCACTTTGTATGTATTGACAAGATGTCAATAAAATTATTTTAATTGTCAATTGTCTATCAGAATAAATATCAACTATTCTCGTTGGGTTTTAATTATTCCAGAATTGGCCAAATACCTTTTCTTGATGGCGCACGATTGGGAAATACCCTTTTTTCTTAATTTATCTACTTGATCCAAGTTCAAATTCACTTTTGTACTATTTTTCATATTTATCTATATATCTCTTTATTTTAGATATTAAAACAAAAACTTATAACTATTCTTTAACAAAGATATGGAAGAATCTGGCGTTTATTGACATTTAAAGATTGGAATAGTTAAGTTAACTATTAATATAATCCATTTGTGCGCCATCTGTTATAAATAATTTTAACTATTTTTGACTCGTATGGTTCTTTTTAAAATAAATCAAATTTCTACTGCCTTTACTGCAATAATATTGGGTTGATGCAAAAATAATGGCCGATTTGTAGTGATAACCTTAAAAAGCAATAACTCGTTACAAGCAAACCTTTATTAATCAAAATAAAAACCATTGGCATCGATACATCTTCACCAACGAGAGCTGGTATATTCCAATTTTATAAAAATCTGGAGTTCTGGATATAATGAATATATTGAAGGCCGTTTCAGCATCACCTTTGTTTTTAAAGAATTTCTCTAATTGAATAATGAGAGGGCTCCTGGGATTATCAGTGGTGAACTCTCCCATTATTTTATCATTGCAGAGAAAATTGATTTATCTTAAAAAGAATCATACGCAACAAAAATAGTTCGAATTTCTTATAAGTAAACAATACTCAATAATAACTGTGTAGATAGGGTTGGTATATAAATCACCAATTCTATTGATACAATCACGAGAATTTAAAACTATATTTATGCGTTTATTTTCTTCTTCCTCTTTCTTATCTCCACACTGGGTGAAGTAGAATGCGTCTACCTTTGTCATTAAGACTGGGAGCACTACTCAGTGGCAGACCGACTTAGCTCCAAAAGAAATAGCCGCCTCTGACATGAGGAACAGACGCCATGTGCAGCCGCTCCTAACATGGAGTACAAACGCTGCTCATCCTGTATTCCTGGATTAGGAGCTCTTACAGGGTACTATCAGCCGGGCCAGCTGAGCCCAGGTTTTTTAGTGAGCTTGTTACTGCTCCCCCTCCTCCTTTTTCATCCGGACTTGGGACCGGCAAGGGCGGAGTTGCGTTTATTTTAATTTGATAAAAACTGAGGAAGCTTTCAAGCCGAAGGGTTCTTCTTCAGAGCACTAATTACGATTAATATAACTCTTAAGAAACGAAAAATCTGCCTTATATATATATCGATATAATATTTACATATCAAAAAAGAAGATTGAAATTATCAAATTTATAAAAATAAATTAAAAATAGGGTTAAATTATTTTAAACATCTATACCTGGAGGCTGCTGTTAGGTTCTGTGCTGCCTGGAGTATAGGAGCTTCATCTATGTTTCCTTTCTTTCTGTGGTGAATCTGTAAATCTGTATAAGACCGG